GAAGAGGTTTGTTTCTAGACCTTCCAAAGCCTTATACCTCTGCAGAGAGAATTATATGAGGCAATGTATATAAAGTCTTCAATCATGCACAAGTTACCAAGTCACAGCTTGGTTGTTTCATGCTGTGGCATGATTCACAAACGTACATATGCACACATACACACATGCACACACACTCCAGCAAAGAATAAACTACGTTGTCAGGAAAAGATGCTCAGCTATGGGCTGGGAAGGTGGCTCAGTGGTACAGTGCTGCCTTGCATGAATGAGGCCCTGGGTTTGATTCCCCAGCACCACATGTGCAGAAAAAGCTGGAAGTGGAGCTGTGGCTCAAATGGTAGAGCACTAGGCTTGAGTTGAAGAGCTGAGGGACAGCACCCAGGCCCAGATTTCAGGCCCAAGGACTCCACCACCACCACCAAAAAAAAAGCTCAGCTAGTTTCAGATCTTATAACCACTTTTTTCACCAAATCAATCCAATGACAAAATACAATGACTGTGTCAGCAGTCCTCACAGGGCAGAAAGGACACACCCATAACCTTAAACTTCAGATTAACTGCTGGAGATCCAGGAGCCTGGAAATCAACACATAGGTTGGATATCTCCCTTCTAGTAAGTAGAAAAGTAATCTGGAGACTGTAACATAACAGCCACGAAAGAGGCATGGAATGTCCCCTTAAAGCTAAAGTTCCTTTCAGCTATTGTATTTTAAAAATAGTTAAGAAATACATTTTTTTCTAGTTGAAAAGGAAGCCGGGCATCACACCTGTACTCAAGCCGCTGAGGTCTGAGGGTGGTGGTTTGATGCCATCCAAGGCAGGAAAGTTTAGAGACTCCTATCTCCAATGAACCACCAGAAAACTGGAAGTGGTGCTGTGGCTCAAAGTGGTAGAGCACTCGCCTTGAGCAAAAAAAGAAAGAGCTCAGGGACAGCAGCCAGGCCCTGAGTTCAAGCTCCAGGACCAGCAATAATAATAATGATAATAGTAATAATAATAACAATAGTATTTGGGGGAAATAGAGTTTGAAAACCATTCTGCAACATATCTAAGATCAGGCAACTTCTAAGTAGAAGAAAGATTTGAACTGAGTTTCAGCTTCACTCTTATAATAAAACAGGTCATTCCCAGATGTGACAGTGTGTCCTCAATTGTGAGTAGCTCCCTATAACAGCTGTACATTTTGATGCTACTCAAACCTTCACTGAGCTCTGCTTTCCCTAAGTATTTGCTGATGCCATAGTGGCCGTACCACAAAATTAGGATGCACTATGTACTATTATGCACTATTATGTGTATGTGTGTGCCCGTTCTGGGGCTTGATCTCAGGGCTTGAGCATTGAACCTAAGCATTTTTGCTCTACCACTTGAGCCACTGTTCTTTGGAGATGAGACTCTCAAGGACTTTCTTTTCTGGGCTGTCTTTGAAAGATGATCCTCAGATCTCAGCCTCCTGAGTAAGCTAGGGTTACAGGTGTGAGCTACCACCACCCAGCCTATTATATATTATGGTACATAGTACAATCACATGTACTATTTATACATAATGTGTAGTATGATACATTATGTATTATTCTCCAACTATCTTACTGGAGTAGACTTTATATTTTGCTTGCTCTGATATCCTTAGCACTTCAATGATATCCAAGTAGCATCAAAAGCAATATATATATATATATAGAATAATAATAAATATTTGTTGGATAAATGAATGTGAGTTAGCTTTTCTGGACTACATTGGACACTAAGGAGAGCTGTAGAATACTTAAGAATATTATACACTGGAAAATGTTGGTCAAAATCTTTCTGGTTTCTATCTTTCATATCCTCATACTGTAAGTGCTAAAAACATAAACACACAAGCATGCACACATGCACACATACATACATGCAGGCACATACCTGGACTGGCAGATGTAAAGACTCTATCCTTAAAATGTGCTTGTTCATGAAGTTTCCCCAACCAGAAACTGCATGCACCTTGCATTTAGTACATTAAGATGGATTGTGAATGTTCCAGATCTGTGGATCCAGCACAAGAAGCCTAGAAGGTCTAGGTTCTTCTCTTTGCCAGCTCTGTGGCCTTGGACAAATGCTATTGTCTCCCTGTACTTCAATTTCTGCAAGTGTCAGAAATGATCTTTCAGAGCAGTTCATCTTGTCACTTTTTATGAGAATCAAGCTATATAGTTGGAGAAGACCAAAAAGCATATCACTTATAAGTAAAAAAATAAAAAGATTAAATAAAGTCTCTTTTTGACAACTATGTTCCTTACATTGATTGGCTGTGATCACCTAAGATTTGACAGAAAGAAAATCCAAGACAATGTAGTCAAATATGATTTCAAAGCAAGAAATTTGATTAAGAATAACTTAACCCATAGAACAATTTGATCACGACAGCAGATGGGCAGAGATCACTTAAATTTGCATCATTGATTTTTTTGGTGGGGGGGGGGGCATCAGATAAGAAAGAGTCTCACAGACTTTCCTGCCTAGGCTGACTTTGAACTGTGATTCTCACATCTCAGCCTCCTGAGTAGCTAGGGTTACAGGAATGAGCCACCCACCAGTGCCTGGTGATCTGTCATTGGCTTTAATATGATTATTTAGTTTGGCTTACTTTGGCAGTGGAGTTTGTACATCTTTTAGCATGTTTTACTTTGAAGGACTCAGATTTTCTTCTCTCCATTTTAATTCACTTCAAGGGCAATTTAGAGTTAGATATCGCATTCGTTTTAATCATTTATCAAATGTGTTTCCTCTCAGGAGATCTGGTTAACATTGATAAACAATTTATAACCGGGAAATCATAATTGAGTAATTACAAAAATGGATCACTATAACAGTCAATATCTCAGCTAGATAAATGCCATACGGACGTTTCCTTTTTGTACATTTGTCCTCTTGACAACTGGCTGCTTTGGGGTCTCTTATAAAATTTATTTATCACTTTTATGCAGTTTCCTGTTGGGAGAGCATTGGAGGGAGACAGTTTCCTGGGGCAAGGAGGAAGCTTTTGGGAGTCCAGCATGGACAAAGGCACTATTATTTGCTAAGAGCCTTCTAAAACCTCCATTTACATTTAAAACCAGCGGGCAAACTTCACTGTTGAAGTGAAAAAAGATTGGCTGGGAGGAAAACCCATGAACAGACTTGAAGCACGCTTTGAGTTTGTAAAGCCGGTGGACAGCGCCAGGGGGCAGTGTAGCGCTAAGATTCCAGGAACTCACGGCGCCTCTCACAAATTGACTTCAATTCTTGAGACAGAGATTAGAGCATCCTGTTTAGGAAGCTGTCCGCAAAATTAATGCACGTGGGTTTGAAAGTTCTTTTTTTTTTTTTTTTAACTTTTCAGCAACATGAAACACACATTAATGGAAGAAGAATCGTGGATTTAATTTCCAAACCCATCATCCAGAGAGTGAAATTAACAAGAGCTTGGCCCCCTCTGCCCTCTATGCCTCTTCCCCTCCAATTTGTTTCTGAAGTATTCTAAAGCTAGATCCTAGATCATGTTTTTTTTCCTCTCCCTTCAGGGTATGGAGGTTTGTTATTCTATTTTAAAACATGGATACAAGTCACTATGATGCTAACGCAATTCTTTGTTATTACCTAACATCCACCGTATATTCAGATTATTGTAATTGCTTCAAATATATCACTTAATTTTAATCAGTCACCGAACAACATCCATAAATTGTATTTAAACATTTTACTTCTTAAGTGCTTTCAATCTGGATCAAACAGTTACTCCCTGCTCCCCTCCCTCCCATTTTTTTGGCCAATGACTTGTTGAGGACAAAAAGAAAACCTGTATTCTGGATTTGTCTGCTTGATTCCTCCCAAAAGGAAGATCAGTATTGTATTCTTAATGGATCCTTTACAGATGTCAGAGCATTTAGGTCATAGTTCTTAATTTTATGCCTTATTATTACTCTCTAACTACAGAGCCTAATAGTTGGAGGCATAATTCCACATTCAAATTGCAGCTCAGCTATGTATTGAGCTCTGCTCCAATTTATTTGTAGAGTGGTTGTTCCTGGGACATAGGGGTCTTGGGGAGGATTAAATGAGACATTTTATGGTAAGCTCCTGGGGCAGAATAGCTGTAATCTAATGTTAAAAACTATTATTATAATAAAATGTACCTTTTTGTCGGTCATGGGGCTTGAACTCTGGGCCTGAGCGCTGTCCCTTAAAAATGTATTTTTATACTACCATTTCTGAGTAAGACAAAGGAACACACAGTCTGCGGATGAGTGTGGATGGCTCGTTTTCACCCTCAGCATGGGTGACAAGCATTCCTTGGCTGAGCCTTTCCTGAGAACAAACCATTCTCACACTGGAAACCTCTTTAATGACTATGGAAATAAGTATAACTGATTTGGATAAGAGTTCTTGCAAAGCCATAGCAGATGAAAGTATCCCATTACATGTCAAGATGGTTATCAAAGAAAGGTTTGTGAATAGCAGTCAACAAGCCAAAAATTTATAATCTCACTTTTCAAATTTCAATACACCATCTGAAAACAATACAAGAATAACAATAGCAATCATGGCTCTACTTTCCAAATCAACGAGATTAACTATTTATGAGAATTCACCTGCAGTTCTAACAGTCCTCCGGCCAAATGTCGATCATAGTAAATCAAAGGGCCATGACTGAATCAGTCAGCAATGCACACTGACTGAGAAAAGCTTAAGGAAAAGGATACCAATAGTGGAAAGCAACCCCTAAGCTCCCTGGTTTACTAGAGACCATGGTGTGAGAATCTAACATTTACAAGCATTAAATATTTGCAGGTCCAGAAAGATTTCAACTATTCCTGCTGGTTTGGACCAATTCAGTCTGAAACAATTCATCTGATACTTGAAAAGTAGAAAAACTTAAGCTTGCTCTTAAATTGTATATAAACACAAAGACAATAATGAAATTAGCTGCTAGCATTTTACGCTTACTTTGTGGACCTAAAATAGTCTATTAATAAGCATGCTTAGTGCTCACTTTAGCAGCACGTATACTAAACTTGGAAAAATACAGAAAAGACTAGCACGGCCCCCACATAAAAATGACACAAATTTGTGAAGTGTTCCATATTTTTAAGATGCATTGAATTCATAAACTGATTTATTTAATGGTACAACTAAGGAAAAGAAAAGTATAATTAAATTAAAAAGTAAAACGAAACACCCAGTTTTAGAATTATATTGTATTGTCTACTTATAAATATAATTTTTTTTGGTTGAAGGGCTTGAACTCAGAGCCTGGGCATTGTCCCTGAGCCTCTTTGTGATCAAGGCTAGTGCTCTACCATTTCTGCCACAGCACCAGTTCCACTTTCTGAGTGTTTAATTGGAGAATACAGTCTCATAGAGACTTTTTTGCCTGGGCTGGCTTTGAATTTCAACCCTCAGATCTCAGCTCATGAGTAGCTAGGATTACAGGCATGAGCCACTGGCACCCAGTGGAATATACTTTTTAATTAATATATAGCATTCTGCCATGTATCCTTTTTTTGGTAGAATCATGACTACCTGTAAATGAAAAAAAAAAAGTGTAGTGACTATTTTTTGTTGTTGTTGTTGTTGTTGTCAGTCATGGGGCTTGAACTCTGGGTCTGGGTGCTGTCCCTCAGCTCTTCAGCTCAAGGCTAGCGCTCTACCACTTGAGCCACAGCACCACTTCTAGCTTTTTCTGCTTATGTGGTGCTGAGGAATCAAACCCAGGGCCTCAGGTATGCAAGGCAAGCACTCTACCACTGAGCCACCTTCCCAGCCCTAGATGTTTTCTTTGTATTAAGCATACATAATTATTTTAACATGACATAGAATGTTTATTTTAAAAATAGTCACTACAGGAGCCCAGGCTTGTGACTGACAAAACACACACACACACACACACACACACACACACACACACACACACAAACCCACAAAACAAAATCTAAAACAGAAGCATTTACTTAAAGACAAAGTTAATTTGGAAATAGTTTTGTTATGCGAATATACAAATAACTATATAGCTATGCTATATTGGAGATAACTTGCCATTTTTGCACTGTAATTTGAAAAGAATTGCTTCAGTTAACTCTTCTTAGAGCAAAACCATCACTTCTAATATGCTACAAAAATTCACATCAAAATCGCATTCTTAAAAGTATTGTGCTTTGTAGTAAAACACACACTTGCAGCTCTCTGAGATGCAAAGCCACATATAATGGACGACACCCAAAACAGGCCCAAGAAGTATCCTTTGAAAGGTTGACTAGGTTCCTTTCTTTTTTTCTAACTAGTGATTTAAGCCAAGTCAACTGTAATCTATAGAGGAGAGGTTATTAAGTGGAAAACTGTGGTCAGTTTTTGCATAAATGACTATCAGCAGAATTCCTCAATTTAAAAACTCGATGACACTTCCCTTGGTAGTTTCATGCAGATTACACCATTCCAACAGTGTTAACGTGAATTCATTTGATTAGTATGGCTTTTTCCTGGGATAGAATAAACTGCCAGGAAACTTTAATTCTTCTGTGGTCATGCTTCAAAGGGAACCCAAGTTAGTAAAATGTGGTAATTGTCAGAAACAGATGTTTTTCCATGGGTAACTCATTTTTGACAATACAATCAAATCTCTTGAAATGATTCTCTGACCTTTGAGTTGTGGATTCCAGAATTTCAGACCTTTAAGTTGGAGGAGTATTTAAAACATTTAGCTCCTTCTTCTAGTGTCTGTTCAGATTAAACTGGAGACTGCTGACCTTGGAAAAGTCCCCCAAGGAAGAAAATTCTGTTCTTATTTAATTGATTCTAAGAACTGATTTACACAGATGTCTGAAGACCTTTCTGGAGTCCAGAATAAAGTTGATACTTTGTAAATTTCCAAATATATATGTATTACTCTGTTGTAGAAAATGCACTGAATTTAGAATCAAAAGACTTGAATTTGGTATTTCTTAACTGACCTTTGACAAGCCCTTTTTCTTTTTGGAGTTTAGTTTCCTTTTTTGTAGAATGAAGTTAATAATCCTTACCTCTCTCAAAGAAGGTTATGAAACTCATAAGAAAAGGTGTGAGGGCTGGGAAGTTGGCTCAGTGGTAGAGTGCTTGCCTTGCATGCCTGAGGCCCTGGGTTCGATTCCTCAGCACCCCATAAGCAAAAAGAAAAAAGCCGGAAGTGGCGTTGTGGCTCAAGTGGTAGAGCACTAGCCTTGAGCTGAAGAGCTGAGGGACAGCGCTCAGGCCCAGAGTTCAGGCCCCATGACCGGACCCAAAAAAAAAAAAAAAAAAGAAAGAAAAGGTGTGAAAATATACAATAATTATAAAATTTCAGACTTCATCTTAAACCTAATGATATTACCAAGTATTGAAAAATAACAAAGGTTCAGCATTTAGCACTTATGCTACTAGGAATTTGGATAATGATTAGATTTCAGGCCACATTAGTTAATTAGATAAAGTTCGTAAATCTGAAACTTAGGCCTAAAAAATCTATAAAACTTAGTCATCACTCAATGACCTTATTTTTATTTTTATTTTATTTTTGTGCCAATCCTTAGACTTGAACTCAGATCCTGGCACCGTCATTCCTGAGCTTTATCAGCTCAATACTAGCGCTTTACCACTTGAGCCACAGCTCCATTTCCAGCTTTTGGGATGGTTAATTGGAAATGAGTCTCATGTACTTTCCTGCCCAAGCTGGCAATGAACCTTGATCTTCAGATCTCAGCCTCCTGAATAGCTAGGATTACAGATGAGAGCCACTGGTGCCCAGCCCACTTTGATTTTTATATTTTATTCATTTATGTTTTGGGGGTTTATTTATATATAAATTATATATAAATATTTATATAATTTATGTATTTATATAAAGATAATTGATATATTTATTTATTTTGGGATTGAACTCAAGGCTTTGTACTTCTTAGGCAGGTGATCTACAACTTGAGCCATCCATGCCCCTAAATCTATTTCCGTTATTTAAAAATAAAATCTCATTTTTTTTGTCTCAATGGTTGTGGATTGGCGTCTTGTTTTTTATGTCTCCTGTGTAGTGAGGATGACAGATGTGTTTTTATTAGTTTACCCAGTTTTTATTTGTTGAGGTGGGCTTCATCAACTTTTTACCTGGGCTGATCCCAAGACATGATTCTCCCCATCCCCTTTCTCCTCCCAAATAACAAAGTAGCTAGAACTACAGGCATGAGCCACTATGCCCAGCTCATTCACATACTCATACTTTGGTGGTACCTAGTTGGTCTGGAATATCCTGACCTCTGAGACATTATTCAGGTGTGATCCAATCATGGTGAAATGCAGAAGCTTTGTTTGAAGGCTATGAAAAGTGACTCTGTTCCCAGAATGTGAATCAGGGAATCTGTAGGCCAAACTACATCTGGCAATCTAGTTCACATTATGAATATTAAATTTGATGACAAATACATCCACATAGAAAAGCAGTAATGTATAGGGAAAGTAGGTGGAACCTAACACATTTCAGGGCTTTTCTGTTATAGATGCCAATACATTCTCTATATTTTTAAGCTACTTCAAATTTTATTTCCTGTTACTTGAAACCCAAATCATCCCAAATTACTTATTTAATATATAAAGCACTTTTGCATTGTATAGTTTTGTGTAACCGGATACTCATTGTGAATCTGTGCAGTAGGTTTTATTGGTTTCCCAATTTTACTGAAAAGGAAAGTTATCTTGTAGGCTTGTCACTTGCCTGTCACATTAGAGCTGGAAATAGAATTGGGTCTAAAAGTTACTGGTTTCTACTCTGCCATGTCACATGGAGATGGAAAAGTAAGGCAGGTTTGGGAACCTTTGAAACCTAGGCGTCACATCAGATTTAAAAATTATTAATAGGGGGCTGGGAAGGTGGCTCAGTGGTAGAGAGCTTGCCTTGCATGCATGAGGTTTGATTCCTCAGCACCACATAAGCAAAAAAGAAAAAAGTTGGAAGTGGCGCTGTGGCTCAAGTGGTAAAGCACTAGCCTTGAGCTGAAGAGCTGAGGGACAGCGCCCAGGCCCAGAGTTCAGGCCCCACGACCGGACCAAAAAAAAATATTAATAGTGGTATTTACACAGAGGAGGCACATGTCACAGATTTCAAACCTCTATCTATGGAGGGCAGCAGTAGTTGCATTCATTCTTTAAATATTTTGCTGTATGGGTCTAATTTGTCATCTGACTATGCTGTGACTTTCACTGAATGTATTGTTGTTCTTGCTCTTTGCAAAAAGGCAGTTATGATGATCTTAAGTGCACTAAAAATTGGAATTTAAACATACCATGATGAATGTTACTAGCTCTGATGATAACAGCATCCAGCATAAGTCTTTGAATTGTGCCAGTTTCCAAATAACATTTTTTTTTTTTTTGCCAGTCCTGGGGCTTGAACTCAAGGCCTGGGCGCTGTCCCTGAGTTCCTTTTGCTCAAGACTAGCACTCGTCCACTTGAGCCACAGTGCCACTTCCAGCTTTTTCTGTTTATGTGGTACTGAGGAATCGAACCCAGGTCTTCATGCATGCTAGGCAAGCACTCTACCACTGAGCTACCTTCCCAGGCCCCAAATAATATTCTTTGAGGGTAAGATAAGACATGTTTTAGTTTTCAATGACTCAGGACTGACAACAACAATAAAAATAAATGCTCAATTATACCATGTATGTGGAATGTAATTGTATTAGAAAGGCTCAATTAATATTCATTCATTTGACAAAAACTTATTGAGCATAATCTAGGACTTAGAAACTACAAGAACTCAGAGGTGAACTGTTAACCTAGAAAACAAGGTTTTTTTGTGTGGTTTTATGTTTGTTTTAGCATTGGACATCCTTTTGCTCCAAAGTGCTTCCTGGGTTGGATCTATGCCAGTTATGGGTAATGATGTACAATTAAGAATTAATAAAATGATGGATGATTTGATGTGAAGCTTTATACTTTGTTTTCTCAAGCAGAATAATACATGGTTGGAATTGATAGAGAAGCCCAAAGGTTATGAATAACTTGTTTTTTTCTTTTTCCAGATGTAATACCCAGAACTCACACAATTCTCCTAGAACATCTCTCCCTGAAACACTTAGAAAGGCAAAAGAC